TCCTAGGAATTCAGAATATTCCATAAACACATTGACCTACTATTAAGTTTCCAAAGGCATCTTGTTGCCAACTACATTAACAGCACAGTTTTTCTGCCACAATAATACAGGAGGATTAAAATACACTCTAACACACAACAGATCCCCCAATTACCACAAAGAGATCTCAAATATTTCACCAAGGTAACTATTGTTCCCCCCACCCACCCGAAAAATAATCTCGTACGCTCAAGTTAGGAAAAAAAGTTCACCTACATAGGGGCTTCCATTTGAATTAGATATAAAAGAGTAAACATAGCTAATACGTATTCAGTTGGCCTCTGTTGATAGAAATCCACAGCTGTTTCTGTGTTAGTAAAAGACATTTGTAGATACTTACAAAAGCACCTAGAGTGCAATAAATAAAACCAGCGAGTTAAGCCATTTCTGTTCTCTGCTTCCCCGTAGATTAATGAGTTTAGTAGATTAATATGTTTTGCTTTGTCCCACCCAACCCCCTCAGAAGACCTTATTGAAGAATTATAAAGATGACGATTATTACTTTGTTACTGTTACTTGTCTCTTTTTGGCCACCGTGGAGGCTCAGTGGTAAAAGCACTTGGCTGACAGCTGGCAGTTTTCATACACAGACACACTGGAGCTGCTGAGCTATGCAGTCTTGTTTCTTGACACGACACGCATACAGACTTGAACTCATTCGGAAGTAACAGCAGTGTGTTAGCCTAAAGGAAGTGACTTGGGGATGTCTGCACTGAGGACTCTCAGGCGCACAACTTAGGTGGGTTAAGGCAAGTATGTACGGTACAGCTTTTAGGGCAAACACCTGCCATTTCAGACTTCGGTTACAAGGTCATCATGGCATGTTTTGTGTGTGTGTTTTTGCAATTACATTGCCTACATAGCCGTGGTGCTATCAAGACATATGGAGGGCAGACCGTGCCTTGGATGACTTCGCAGCTGGCAGAGGCCGCCCGGCTGGGCTGTAGAGAAGTTAGTGACGGCCAGCAGAGGGCGCCAACGCGTCTCCTTATGAACTTGGCAAAGACCCGGGAGAAAGCAGCCTGCATTCAGGAAATCCACGAGGGGCGTGTCCTGCATGTCTGTTTCAGATAGAAAGAGGAGGCCAAGGAGAATTGGGGTGTGCGTGTGTGCGTGTGTGTGTGCGCGCGTGTCCCTGCCAGTGCATGTGGAGGCTTTATGTTTTGTTAGTATGTATTAAACTTCTTTGCTTCTTGCTCTTCAAAAAATGCAGGAGGCCACCGCAAAACAAGTTCTTTGAAAGGTCCAGGAGCTGATGTATTGAAGCCATTTGTGTTATTTTGACCTGAGAGAGAGAAAAAAAGATGTTTTTAATCAAGGGTGAGAGCTCATACCCTTTTGTCACCTCTCCGAGCACGAGAGTAAACCCGCACCCCTCCCCCCCCCCAAAAAAAGTCCAAAGCCCAAATTGTGCTTTAAATAGACAGTTTTCCTCCTCTCAACTTTTTCCTCAGTGCAGCCTTTTAGATAGAGAGGCCAGCTATGGTAATTTAAAATCCATTTTCTGGGGGTAAATGAATATGTTTTGCTGTACAGTTAGGCTGCCAAAAAGAATGCAGTGGTTTCAAATGGTGGCCTGATCCTGCGTGGGATACTCCCACATTTATACTGCAGGGAGCCCAGTAGATCTGGACCTGCTTCAACACATAGGTCAGTGGTAGTCAAAGCAGCTACTTTGTTGGAAAATTAACCTGCAGACATGGGAATGTTAAGCGCAGCAACTTCATAGCCGTTACTGGTTTCAAAGTGTCCTCCAAACTGTAAGAGAAAAATTAATGAAAACTTTTCCCTTTTAGATGGATTATAGATAATCCAAAGAATTATACATCAAGAATATTCACCCAACCTAACTTTTTAAAAAGAAGACTGTTTATTCATTGACTGCAGAAGCTAAAACACAGCTATGAATGGAGGTCAGTTAGGGGCAGTGTTTCCAAAGCCTTGTCCAGGCTCTGAGCCATTGAAGATCTGCTGGGTATAGTGGAAACCCCACAGCTAAAATTGCGCATTGCTTTTAAGCATCTATTTTCCTTCTAAGGAACTGCTTTTATTTCCGTTGCTATGTAATATCATGGGGGTGCTTGAATTGGCCCATGATGCTAAACTACTCTTACTTTATGAGACTTGTTTATGGCAGGTTGGCAGGAGAAGTTCCACCGCACAGGACAAAGACACGGGGAGGCTCAGGTCTCTGCCTCCCAGCAGGGAATGGAGTTTATGCGTGGATCAGTTTGTTTTTCCTGGGATTTTAATAGGCAGTGACTCTCCAGTGATTGTTTTTGAGGGCTACACAGTTGAAAAGCTCTTCATTCAACACCACATAATGTGAAACCAAAATGGAATATAAGGGAACGCACTAACAGGGGAGGATGCAGGCAGGTATGGAACTATGGCAGCTATGTTAGTGTGAGGAAGTAAAGATAAATGAATTTAAAATCAGGGAATGAAATGTCAGGGCAGACTTACAGTCCACATAAGAATTTGGAAAAAACAAAACAAAACTAAGGGATCAGGAAAACTGCCTGGTAACGGGCTGCATAACTAACAAGACATGTGACCTGTGTTTCTCTTTCCTTTCATCCAGTTTCCTCATCTGTAAAATAAAAGCTCAGTGTTCTAGTACTTGAGGTCTCCTCGGGGATGCTTTGTAGAAGTGATGGTAGTGGTATTTTGACTGGTGATTTTTTAAACATTTATTTCATGAGCAGTGGGAAGACTGCTGATATAATTTAACCATTTTCAGGCAGTAAGGGAAAAAAATAACATTTTTATTACTTTTGGTTTGCCACTAAAAGTATTTAATAAAATCATGAGAAGTTTCTGTCTTGAAAGAATTTCATTCTGGACATTAAATTTGAAGAGTCCTCTCTTGAAAGAAAACAGAATTATAAATGCCTGGTTTGAAAGTATATTCTTGATTACATATAATTAGCATTCTCATGGTATTATCAGAGCTTATCTTTTTTTTTTTTTTAGAGCTTATCCTTAAATAATGATTATATCCAATTTATTATATTTTGATCATCTTTATTGATCGTTCATACTGACCAGCAGTGTAATGTTATGTGATAAAAATGTGTGATATTGTTAGAAGCAAGAAATTGCAGGACTTAAAGATGTTCTGGTCTACTTTTAAGCACAAGCAAATTGTTACATGTTACTTGGGCTGATAAGATGTGATACATTGTTTACAGAGGAAACCTTTTGGGAATGAAAATACAGTGTATGTTAATTTGAGTTGATGAAGTCTTTTCATGAGTAATATTGGTTAACATAAGCCTTGTTCCTACAACTAAGTTGCTTATTAAGTGTCTTGTATGTGACATGTCCTCCGTTGTATTCTCAAGCATTGTTTTATATTAATTCAGAGTAGCTGTATGAAGTACATATGCTGTTGTCTCTGTTTTGCAGTTGAGGAAACTTAGGCCCTGATGGGTCAGATGGTAAAGAATCTGCCTGCAGTGTAGAGACCCAGGTTTGATCCCTGGGTAGGGAAGATCCCCTGGAGAAGGGAATGGCAACCCACTCCAGTATTCTTGTCTAGAGAATTCCATGGACAGAGGAGCCTGGCTGGCTACAGTCCATGGGGTCGCAAAGAGTTGGACATGACTGAGTGACTAACACTTTCATTTTCAGGCTTGGTGAGAATAAATTTATTCAAATAAAGTTACAGTGTCAAGGTCATAAAGAATTGTATCACATGCAGTCTACCTTCCATAGCTCATCTTAACCACTGCCTCTTACTGCTTTGCTTTTAGTTTTTAATAGAACACTTTACACAAGGGTATATTATTGATATAATATCGAGAAGAATGGTAAATAATATAAAGGACTTATTTTTTATATAAGCTATCAAATCTTCTGGGAGGCTGGGAACCTTATGGTATAAAGAGAAATACAACTCTATTATGGGGAAGGAGCAAAAAGAAATATCAAAGGAAAAAGATTTAGAAATGTTTCATAAAGGAAGCACATTTTAAGATACAATTTGGAGAGTGGGATTTGAAAAGTGGAATTTGGGAAAAGACATTTGGTATCAAGAGAACAGCATGGACAGCTGAAAAAATACACGTCATGTTTGTGGATGGCAAGAGTTTCAGCTGGGCTATTAAAAGTAGATAAGGGAGACATCAGAGTATGTGTGCCCTCAGTAGAAGGTGAGGTCAGGAAGCAGTTCATAGCCATCATAAAATGTGAAATCATTGCATTTTCCTGGTGTCTCTCAGCATTATCTGCACACAGTTGAGACTCATAAGTTTTTAAGTTGAAGAGCAGAGACAATATTTCCATAAAATTTTGGGGCTGGGTCATAGTAGATCTGCAAGTTCTGGTATGGATTTTGGACTTTTTGTTTAGTAGGCAGTAAGGAGTTTTTTGATAGTTTTTGGGCAAAGGCCTAACACAGTTGGACAACACAATAAGATTAAATTGATGGTTACATAGAAGAATGGGATAGGGGCTGTAAAATAAAGAGACTGGAAAACTCAGCTAATGAATAGCTGAATTAGGGCAGTGGTTTTAGGAATGTAAAAGAGGGGTTGTGTGATATCCTGTTTACAGAAGGGATACTTTGAATGACATATAGTATTGGCTGACTTCTGAACTTGATAAAGTCTGTTTTGTGAGTGGTTTTCTGAATGCTTTTGGGGAACTACAAGAGACACACACAAAATACAGCATGATGCACAGATCATTCCCTTTGTGAAAAGAAGCTTAAAAGGGGATGTATAAGGATTACTTTAATCTCTCTGGAGGAGAAATACTTCCCCAAATGTGTTTATCATCCTACACACTAACAATATTAAAAGGTAAAATGACTGAATGGCGGAGGACAACGACAACAAACACGTATCTTCAAAGAGAGAAGCTCACGTTTCGAAATGAATTGGAATCTTACTTTCTATTTTGATCTTCGCTTGCAATTCAGCATATCACCTGATGCTGATATATAGAATTTGTTATCAGTTGTTATCCAAGGGAATTTGCCTAAACACAGATATAAAAATCAGGCTCCGATTGTATGTCTGCTCTCTTGAGTGCTAAAGGGTCTGATAAGTTTAAGTCTTAATACTCTGGTTTCATTTTCACTTTTCACACCAGAAAAATGTTAAAGAGTATTATTACGTCATTTATCATCCAAAAGAGAACACTTACAAGTCTCATAGGGAGTGCTGGTGATAAGTATACCAGAACAACGCATGTAAACTATGACTGTACTGGGAAAATCAGGACATACAGCTTTTATATATAGTTACGTACAACTACCTACAATGTTACATCATCTTCAAAATATACAGCTTTTGGGTAATTCAAGGAAATTATATATTATATTGAATTTTTAGCTATGTAGTTGATACACATGTAAGAATAGTTTTAAAAAGTAAATTTAGAGATGGCTTTCCTGATAAATTTTATAAAAATTATGAACAAAATGTTATTAGAGCTATTTCAGTCAAAACAACATTAATAGAGGAGGAAGTATTGGAGGTAAGTCATGACTGAAGGACAGCCACATGCCATCTCTTTTGTGCGACAATAACATTTGCCTAATCACCTTTTAGTATCCCAGAAGAACACTGCCAAAGTAAAGTACTCACATGTACATAGGCTGCAGCTGTAAATGAGATGTCTTCTGAGGCCCCTGATAGCCGTAAGAATCAAAGCCACCTATGAAATCAACTAGAAAGGGACAATTGCTATAATTAGTCAACTTTTCAGAAGAGATACATACTCATGTTCAAGGTCTTACACAGATTACTAATATAAACCCTTTAATAATCTATTAAACCAGAAGTAGCTAATTGTGGAGACAAAAAGATAGTTTCTTCAAGGCAGTGATTCCCCCACCCCCAACTGTGAGATTCAATTATTGCTTTACATGAATCTATTAACTTGGGAGAAGAAATTATATACTCCTTTGAAGTAACCAAGACCTAATTGGAGCAATAAAATTCACTTGTACAATTAAGATGCTATATGTCTTTGTGGTTAGTGTGGAGATTTTCTGTAACACATTGCCAATGTTAAAAAAATGACGGTAGCTCAAGTGCATGTATCTATCAGCAATTATTATTAGTAATAATATTATATCCTGATTGTCAGGTACAAGGTGCTGTGATGGAGGTCATGTAAATTAGCTCAGCACGGCTGTCCCTGCCATTATGTGGTTCATAATCTCAAATAGACAGTCAGAAATAAAGATATGGAAGAAATTCTAGCCAAGGATTCAGATGCATCTGATTTACATTTGGTGCAGACATATTATAGAACATACCTAGAAAAGTCAAGTTCAGAGAGTCAGAAAGTACATTGATAGATGCCAGGGACGGCGGGGTGGGGAGGGGGAATGGATGGGGAGTCTGTGCCTAATGGGGACAGAGGTTCATTTTAGGAAGGTAAAAAATTTGGGAGATGGATGATCATGAGAGTTGCACAACAGTGTGAATGTCCTTAGTGCCACTGAACTGTACAGTTAAAACATGGTGAAAATAGTGTGTTTTATATTATGTGAATTTTACTGCAGTATAAAAGCATTAAACATATTTATAAGCAAAAAAAAAAGCCACATTCAAATGCAATACACACCTAGATATTTGAGGTACAATGAGATATAACAAGAGTTACTACGGTAGATTACATTATCAAAAATGGCTGCAACAAGATCTCCTGAATTCCGTATCTGCTTACAGTGTGATCTTGACACTCAGCCTGTCCTGTGGTTTGTGTCTTTATCCCTTCCTGTTGAACCTGGGTAGAACTTTGTGGCCACGTGGACCCACGGAGTGTGGTAGAAGTGACACTCCATGACTCCTAAGGCTAGATCAAAAAACTGTCACGCACTTCCTTCCCTTTGCTCTTCAGGGATGCTCTTTTGGAACACAGCCATCAGGCCCAAACTGGGAAGGGCAAACTAGCCCACGTGGAGAGATCAACAAAGGACCCTTGGATATGATTTTGGTGAACAGGGTGGCTGAGGTCCCAGCTGACGGTTAGCGTCAACACCCAGACACGTGCCTCCAAATGATCCCAGCCGCAAGCTGCTGAGTCAAGCCAGTGATGGAGTCTCCCCAGCTGAGGCCTCTGACATCGAGGGCTACAGACCAGCGGTCCTCATGGTGCCTTGTCTGGATTCTTAGCCCACAGTCCCCGAGTGTAATCACTGTTGTTTTATACCACTACATTTTGCAAGCAGTGGTAACTGTGACAGCACATATTCACACGAAGAGTGCTGTGAAAAACTCTGTTTTTTCTTTTTCATTCCTGGACCTGGAGGTCGTGTGGTGGGGCCAAAAGAGGCAAAACGACAAAAAAGCTGACAAGATAGTTGACAGGAGAAAGAGAGGAATGTAGAAACTGAATTAAGATGTTTGAGGATATCTTAATTTTTTTCTAATAGATTATTACGCTGGTTTAAGTTTGGCTAGTTTTTATTCTCTTTTTAATTTCCTAAGTGTTACAGGTAGAAATTGGAACAAGTGACATAAAGTCCATGATGTCTGTTTAGTGGGAAAATCTTTTTATTTTTAAAAAACATTTTATTTTTTAGAGCAGTTTAGGTCCACAGTAAAACTGAGAAGTACTGAGAGTCGTGCCCTACCCCACCCCCGATAAGTGCACAGCCTCCCCACTCTCAGCATCCCACACCAGCGAGGTGCGCTTGTTACAACTGATGAACCTACCTTGACGCATCCTTATCACTCAAAGGCCAGAGTTTGCATTGGAGTTCACTTTGGTTTTAAATTCTGCAGGTTTCAACAGATTTGTAATGACATGTATCCACAATTTTGATGTCATACAGAGTAGTTTCACTGCCCTAAAAATCTTCTGTGTTCTGCCTTTTTAATCTCTGCATTGCAGGCATGCTGAGTCGCTTCAGTCCTGTCTGACCCTTGGCGATTCTATGGACCATAGCCAGCCAGACTCTTCTGTCCATGGGATTCTACAGGCAAGAACACTGAAACGGGTTGCCATTTTCTTCTCCAGGGAATCTTCCCGACCCAGGGATCAAAGCCAGGTTTCCCACACTGCAGGCAGATTTTTTACCCTCTGAGCCACCAGGGAAGCCCTTTTAATCCCTCCCTCACCCCTAAACTCTAGCACCCATTGATCTTTCTACTGTCTGCAGTAAATGTCATGCACTTCCCTTTTCTCTTCAGGGATGCTCTTGCTCTCTCATGCCCAAACTGGGAAGGCCAAACTAGCCCACGTGCAGAGATCAACCAAGGACCCTTGGATATGACTTTGGCTAACAGGGTGGCTGAGGTCCCAGCTGACAATCAGCATCAACACCCAGATAGGTACCTCCAAATGATCCCAGCCCCAAGCTGTTGAGTCAACCTGCCTTTTCTGGAATGTCATATACATGGACTCCTTTTGTTTCCAGCCTTTTCTGATTTATTTCTTTCAGTCAGTCATATGCTTTGAAGGTGCCTCTATATCCTCTTATGATTTAATCTCTCTCTCTCTTTTTTTTTTAAATCATGAAAACCCTTTTACTGAGGCAGAATTTCTCTTTTGGTCCTAAGTGGAGTAGTACAACAGTCCTTCCTTATCCACAGAATACAGTTCAAGGTCCTTAATGGATTCTTGAACCATGAATAGTGCTGAACCCTGTATCTACACAATACATTGCTTTCTTTTTCTCCTGGTACTAATGGATAGGTAGCATACACAGCATGAATATGCTGGACAAAGTGATGATTTATGTTACTGGAGGCACAGAGAAGGATGGTGTGAAATTTCATCACAGTACTCAGAATGGCTCAGAAGGTAACACTTAGGAATTGTTTATTCTGTTTAATTTTTTCAGACTGCAGTTGACTGCAGGTAACTGAAACCATGATACAGAGGTCTAGAGTGTAATGAAAGGACAGAGATCTGATGTTAGAAGGATCAGGATTCAAATACTGCTTTGACCACTTTCCAGCTGTGTGACCTTAGACAAATCATTTAACTTCTCTTACACAAGAATTACGACACTTATATTATTAGTGTGAGGATAAAATGAGGGGTGTAGAGCCCTGGGTGAGACATGTGGTGTGGAAGAAGAAAACGAAAAACCCTTAAGAATTTGGGACTTTCTTTATAATTCTTCTAAACCGTGCAGTGTGGGAGAAAGGAAGTGTTAAATTTGGAACAACTATAGGACTATAGGGCTTCCCTGGTGGCTTGGATGGTAAAGAATCTGCCTCGATGCAGGAGACCTGGGTTCAATCCCTGGATTGGGAAGATCCCCTGGAGAAGAGAAAGGCTACCCACTCCAGTATTCTGGCCTGGAGAATTCCATGGGCAGAAGAGCCTGCTGGGCTGCAGTCCATGGGGTTGCAAAAGAGTCAGACATGACTTAGTGAGCAAATAACAGCAACTAGATGTTTGGCTTATAGCTCAAAATTTGTTGTCTAGGAGGGTGTTTCTGCCTTTAACAGAACAAAAAGAATTGAGAGAAGGGAGTTTGTGTTTGGCTTCATTAGAAAATGTAGTATGTAAGTGGCATATATGAGCAGCAAAGACCAGAAAACATTTGGGAAATGGGAACTGTAATTGTAATTGGTGGGAGACAAATTGGAGACTTGCTGGGACTGTAGAGGTGAATTTTCTTATTCTTCATTCAGCTTTATTGTGTTTCATTGAAACCTATCGCCACCTGACATATTATGAATCTACTTTTTTGTTGTTGATCTCAGCACAGTAATGTAAGCTGCATGAGATTTACTGTTTACTACAGTGGCCCCAGAACCCAGAACACTGTCTGGCTCATGGAAGCCATTTTTACTGAATGAAGTCTTTAGGCTGTTTTGGGAAAAAGGCAGGTGATTTAAGCATGGAAGATGCTGGTAAAATTTCTAAGTGAAATTTAAGTGCATTTACCCTTTCTTCAGAAGGCCTTGAATTAAGAGACCTCTTATAGAAGGTCTAGAATGTCAGTAATTGCTTGGATCCTGTGAGACAAAAGAAATCTTTTGGATATCAATGAAAGGAAGGCACCATTCTAGTTTCTTTGGTCGATACGAATGGAAGGAAGAAAGCTAGGACTTGCTTTAGCATCAACATAACTAGGGTGAGAGGGATCATCCATTGATAACTGCTATCAAATGTTGCAAAAATGTTGGTAACTGGTAGAGAAAATATTGGTTTCTTTCTGGCAAGTTCATAGCATTCTAAATAGAGGTACATGACTGGGTAGAAGGTGACAGAATAAAAGGAAGTTTGTACTTGTTTGGAGCAGTTTGCTTTTGGTTCTCTTGAAACAACTCAGGAATGTTATTTTCTTTGCAGGTGATTTTTTCTTTGCCTTAGTTTTCCTATCTGCAGTATGGGTGTGTTTTTTATCTACTGACCTGTGGAGGCACAGGGATGCCCAGTTATTTTAAATTAGTAAAGTGCCATATCAGTTTAATAACTATGATTTGATAACATTAATAATAGTGGAATTTAGAAATTACCAAGTAAGAGAAAAATGCTTTTTGAAGGAATATTCTTCAATCAAATATGTCCCCTGTTGTGAGCTTCCCTTTTATTTAAACCTTTTAATCGTGAGCACTGAGCTCAGCAAAGCTAAAGCTGCATTTTAAAAACACATGTTAGCCGGGCAGTATTGTAATATAAAATTGTACCTTGGTTATTCATGACAAAAGCCACTAGTCAACGCACTTGTTTGGAGATAGAGCTGGAAAGTACCA